CACAACCCTACAAATCTTTGAATCATGCTGGATTGATATCATGCACAAAGTTGAATGGCTTGAACACACTGAAACAGATCTTTGTAATTGATAAAGGTACTTTAGAAGAGGTTTTTTAGTTATTATCAATATTTCCCCCTATATTTTTCCCTGCGCATACATACAGTTCAACTACCAAAGATATTCTCTCACAGCATGCCTGCCGTTAGCGCAATTCTATTTGATTTTTTCTTTTGACAGAAATAATAAAAATCCTGTTACTTTCACTTTTTAGAAACTTTAGAAACAGGTACAGTAGCTAATGACAAATCCTTAGAAGAGGGTTGCAGTCGCAGAAGTGTGACAGATGATGCACAGAGCTAGGAAGGGATACAGTTTACTGATTCAGGGAGCCCCAGCAAGTTACAACAAGGTCTTGGATCAGCAACAACCAGAATGCAGCAGATTGTCAAAACAAACAGATACAGCTAAACTCAAGTATAAGAATTTGTTATCACTTCACTGTTGATCACAAGCTAGGGTTTGGCTAACCGTTCCATAATCGAAATTAATGTAAAACTATCATGTCTTCACAGATTCACAGATCCTATGAGAGATACTTGCTAACAAAACACAGCTTTTGTTAGCAAGGGTAAAATCTGTTAGCTCTTTCTTATTAGGCATTTGAACTGAAACATTTTAACTCAATTTGAATCGAAACAATTGTAACAAACACGCCTTCCAAATTATACTGAGTGCAAGTTCAAAGCAAGATTCCTTGCCCATTGGAAAGAGGTGTGGTTGACACACAAGCAGGATAGTAGTGAGCTCAATTGGTGGAGATAGGGCTGGACAGTTACAGTGGGTTACAAAATTACAAAAATAGAGACTTGAAAACATAAAAAGGGCATCAGACAGTCCAGATATCCAGCTCCTCTGATTGATTTAGTTTCCAGTAGCTAATTGACCTGAGGATCTCATCTGGCAGTTTCTGAATGGAAGAGCATTTACAAAGGCTACAAAAAAAGAACATTTTGGACATTTGTGTTTGTTGTATTACTGGTAGCTTAATGACTGAGAGTCCCAGCAAGATATTCCTTAAAGACTCCCATGGTATCAGCTTCAGTAACAGTGTGACAGCGTAACAGACCTGTATAAAGCTTTTCTCACACCCCAAGATGACTCTAAATCCATAACAGGCATATAACTCATATTGTTCCTTTGCAACCAACACACTACGCACCTCCACACAGCATCTGTATGAGGAATGATGGTATACGTTTAATTTCGGAGTTGCAAATTCCACTTTATGAAAGCTTAATGAACAAACTATTAACAGTAAAGTATGAGTATGTCAAAGAGTGAAAAATAATAGCTGTGTGACTGATTTTAAGATGCACTGAAGGGGCAGTGTCACCCTAAGTGTAATACAATTTGAATCTTGCTCCCTGAACTTTCTCTCCTGAACAAAGGCCCTCTTAGCACAGATGCCAGGCAATTACCACACAGTTCAGAGGTGACATGTGGGTTTGGAAAGCAGCCTGCGATCTGGATGGAGACTCTGGAACAGGGTGCAAATCCGCAATGTACAGTATTTGTACACCTAGCCATCTGGCTTCAGCCAGTTCCTCAATGAGCCCCAAGCAGTTTGCTCTGCCCAAGATATCACAGGGAAACCTTTACCCCCAGCGAAGGAGTCACAGCCTAAGCCTAGAGACTAGGGACTGAGAGCAGAGGAGGAAATCCCAGTATTGTTTTTCTGCCCCCTCAACCCAGAACTGGACTTAGACACAAACAGGATAGAGTGCGAACACCAGGGGTACATTGTTCAGGATGCCCTGGGCTGAGGATGATGCTTCAGTGTTTCTTTGCTGTGGCAACTAACATTCTTCTCAGTATATCATCTTATTTCTTATTACTGATATATAGTGCCTTTCAAAAGTATTCAGACCTTCCCTACCCCAAACATTAAAGGAAAAAAACAAAACGTTAATGCATAAAATGAAAGAAAACAGTCTTGATAGCATAGTATTCGGATCTTTTCCTGTGACAAACCTTAATTGATTTAAATTAATAAAATGACCGCAACGAACCACACAACTGAAAGAGTTTCCCATGTCTCCATGTAATGACATAGTAGTAGTTCTGATGATTTCAGAAAAAAACACTGTCTCTGTGAAGTTCCATGGTTAGGTAGTGAATTTCAAGCAAAGACTCAAACATTAAAACTAAGGAGCTTTCTAAGCAAGTCAAAGATCAGGAGCAGGGTACAGAAAACTGAAATATCTGAATATCCTTGAGCACAGTATATTCAAATCATCAGGAAATGGATGGTGCACTCTGGGTACCCATCATACCACCCAGACACTGCCTAGATCTGGACATCCCTGCTAACTGAGCTGCTGGTCAAGGAGGAGACTGGTGAAAGATGCTACTGTGAGTAAGTATTTAATACAACTAACCCATCTCAAACCCTGCATGGATTTTGCAAAAAAACACCTAAGAGATATTGGTAAAATTTGCCAAATTATGTTGTGGACAAATTGGAACATTTTAGTCTAAATCATTATGATTAGAGCAAAAGAAAAATATCATATCTCCCAGTCAACACCATCCTACAGTCAAGCATCGTGTTGGCAGTATATTCCTCTTTAGGAAAGACAAGAAAGCATCCTGGATTGAAGAAAGAATGAACAGAGGAAAATCCAGGTAAATACTAGAGGAAAACATGTACAATAATCTACAGCACAAGGCCAAAACCACACTGAATGCTTTTAGGAATCTTTGAAAAGAGTTGAAAACCCCTGTCCATAAGTGACCCTCAGGTAACTTCAGAAAGTTGACACAAACAGGAGGAGAACATCACAAACTCCATGCAGACAGCACCCTAGATCCAGACCTGAGCTTAGGTCGCCACCACTGCAAGACAGCAATACCAACCACCGCACCACAGTGCCTCCGAGTTACTTTCTTTATTTGTCTAATTATCTGAAGTTGATTTAGTGTTACAGAAATATTAAAAAATTGCAAGTGTCTGCATGTTCAATATTTTCTGAAAAAATAAAATGTTAAATATAAACATATGTTTCCCATTGAATAGTCTTGCCTTAAATATACATTAAAAGGTGGCTATATGTGTGTTGCAGTACTAAACAATTTGGCATGATATTTCTTTCTTTCACATGCACCCATACAGCTGCAACATAAGGAGCCAGCTGGCTAGACAGAAATCGTTGATTGCCCTGTATATTCAATTTAGTGAAATGGCTAATTTTTATCAATTGTCGTTGAACAGGCATTCATTGCTAATTCGTTAAATCACATTTATATTTTATTGCATTAGAAATCTCAACAAGGATTTCTAAGTTAATAGTAACATATCTGCTTAAGGTTGGAATTGAATTTACATAGCCCTTGAATTTCATTGGACAGTAAACACTAGTTTAAGATAATTGTGAGATTACAGTCAACATTCTACAATATTTTTACTATTTTTCAATAGGAGTCATCTCAACTGATGTTTTAATCACATTCACAGTATTCTGCCTCATAACAATTCACACAAACACAAGAAAAGCAGATGACAATAACCTAACATTCAAAAAACAATTTCACTGAACATCAGATGCACAATTGTGAACCCTATATAATATATATTTTTTAAACGTATACATCCATACAGTATTCTAAAATAATCAATTGTAATCAATCACATATAATTTGCAAAAAAATGAAAAAGATTTTTATATCATAAAGTGCCTTTCGGGCATTGAAACATTGAAAAAATAGAAGGGACTGGAAAAATTAAACATTTTTGTTGCATCTGAAATGTTTGCTCAAGTTGATCAAAATACATTTTACAGTTATTGAAAAAACCTGTAAGATTCCTTCTATGTAAACTTTTAAAGGTCATTTTGGTTCATTTTTTTCACTTAATCCCTTGAATCTATAAGAATTATGCATTACTAGACAAAAGTAAATGACTGTTAACATGTGGGATCAGACACTGGGGTGCTCTCCCATTCAAGGCTTTGTAAGTCAGAAGCCCTGAAACTCAAAATCAGATCAACAGCCCATCATCACTCTGCAATAGATCACTGCCCACATGTCACCAAACTGAACATCTTTTATTTGCACTTTTTCCTGCTAAACCTCCTAATAATCATGAGATTAGGATATGTCTCAGATTTCCCTGTTTTAGGTTTATATTGACTTATGATTGTTTAATTCTTTATTATTCTAGATCTAGACAGTTACAATTTATACTCAGAAGCATTGCATAAAATATTTAATAGTGAAATATTTCAAACTTCATGTGCAAAATGTCCACTTTCATGAAATTATATGTTATAAGTATTACAGGTATGTATTTGTTCTAAACCTTGTTGAGTTGTACAGTATCATGCAAACATAGTCTGCTTGTTTGGGATTTATTTGGACAAATTCAATAATCCTGCTTGATAAATACATAAAGGACTATATCATCACAAATGAACACTACAGCCTGGTTGTTCAGTTTAATGTATAGCACAAATAAATATTTTGCAGCCATCAGAAAGATAAAATGGAAAATATTTCAACATATTGAAACATAAAGGTGAAATTGGTGGAGCCATTAGAATCAGTGCTAGTAATAATATAAGTACCAGAAGCTGTAATACTGAGAAAGACAATAATAATCAATACTGAGCACATTAAAAAAAGAAAACTAATTTTATTACCTGTACTTGGTAAAACAACATAGCCTAGTTAAAATACAAAAGTCCAACATTTTTAGCCATAACCAATTTTTTTTTCACAGTACTTGTTGCCATTAGACTGGTTCATGAATTCGGAACAAGTAAGGAGAGAAGGAAAGGAAGCTCTGTGGTGACTATATCTAGCACCTGGGCTGGACCAATCACAGAATTTAAGGATAAGTTAACTTCTGAAGACTATACCACCCACAAAACAAATATACACTCTCTACCTCCAAGGTTCTCAAACGATTATCTCAGAATTTAAAGAAGAAAAAGACTTACATCTCTGTAACATTTTCGCTCTCCTGGTAGGGCAGTGCTGGGATGCTTGTGATGCTGTTGGGTTCGAAACACTGCAGGGTGGCATAGGAGCACCTGCATGAGTTCGGGCAGCTGCAGAAAGCTGGCAGTGCCAAGCTTAGCATTGCCAGCACAAGAGTCCCCCAGCCTGCAAAGCCTAAAGCCATAATACCTTTCAGAAAAGACTGGTTGTTCAAGCTCGATTACAAAAACAGGCTCACAAAAATAGATTCCCTCACTTTCTTCAGATAGCCAAACAACTGTTTTTATTCTTCAGTGACAGTCTGTCAGCACTGGGCTATTACCAGACTGCTCTGTTATAAGCCAGGCACTTTGGTTCCTGAACACAGCAGCTACTCTGGGCCCCAGGGACATAGCATGTAGCCTCCTCTCTCCAGTCATAGATGGAGGGAGGAGCAAGACAATACATTTGTTGTATCAGAGAGTCAGAAGGGTACTACTGATACTGGGCAATACATAAAGAGCAGAGATGAAGCTCTAGATGGAGTTAATGGGGATCAATCTTTTTAGTTCTGTTTCTGCATAACACTCCTTGCCCAAATTTAAGGATAATATATCAGGAAATCTCTATTCATTTTTAAAAGAACTTGGAGACTTTTCAGGTGCTTTTGAGCCTTAAGTTACTTGAAAAAAAACTCTACTATGAAAGAAGAGAAGTTATATAACCCACAATTTGTCTGCAAGCAGCATACTATTGTTAAAATATAACACCTCTGATATTATCTTACACAACAGATTGTAATTCCAAATGCCTGAAATGGAAATATAGGCTAAGCAGTGAGAGTCCTCCGAGTTTACATGCAGAACCAGAGTGTAAGAGGGTGAAAAATAAATAATAATATAATAAATAATAATAATAATAATAAATAATAATCCATACTAATAAATAACTTATATAATCAATATATCTGAGGGCAATATACAATATGTGTTTAACTAGAATACTTTGCCTTTGAAAGCTACAATATAGGAGATTTCCTTAAGCGAACAACAGTCTACAAATTTTAAATAGTGTTCAACAGGGTAGGAATATTGACTTTTCTTGTTATTCATCAGAGAAGCAGACATAAATTGAGTATGGGTGGCCCAGTAGTTAAAGTAAACTGTTTGTTAAGAGAACTCATTTGATGTTGCCAGAACTTGACCTTATTGCCACAGACTCACTGTGTGACCCCACAGTTACTTAATGTTTTGTGCTTTGCCCTATTAGTAAAATGTACAATACAGCACAAATGTTAGGGTAATGTTTACATTTGTATAAAAAAATACTTTAGATATAACTACAAAGCACTATTTACAAAGTCCTTATGAGAATTTGATTAAGAAAGTATGGAAATATCTGAAAAAAAAAAGAAATATTACCAGAAGTCTAACAAACTGTACTGCATAATCTTTTACAGGACATATGGAATATAATATATACTGTATAAAAACTTTCTGTATCATTTACTAATAAAATACTTGTACTTGTAGGTAAGGATCACAATGAACTATTAAAAAAAGGTGATCAATGGAATAACAGACAAATGGGCATAACACAGAAGAACCACAGCCTTGGTATCTGTAATCCTGTAGTAGCAGATCTTAACTGTAACGTTTATCAGTGCTTTAGATGGATACATTTGTTAGCAAGTAGTGGTGACATCAGTTGCAAATACTGTGCTCTTGAGAATAACAGATGTGTAAAAAGCTGAAACAAACTGAATAAAGGTTTTCACAAAGAGCTTTTGTTAGCAAGGGTAAAATCTGTTAGCTCTTTCTTATTTCTTTTTTATAGCACGGAAAATAACTGAACATCTTTCACTAGATATTTCCTTACAGCTGTGAGCCATACAGCAGAATAAGACAAACTCAAACCTTACAACACATGCTGCAAAAAATCCTGAGTCAGAGTGTGACATATGATGTCAGATCTTCCATTTCTTTTCCTAAAGCAAGACATTTTTAAAGGCATATTTTTAGGTACTACAGTTCATTAATGGAATTTGGATATAAATAGAAATGGCCAGAAGTGCACATTTCAGCAGATGTGTGTCAATATGTCTACATTTCTATTTGCTCAGTCCCATGGTCATCTGCTGTATGAAATTGGTTCCCAGGCCTACACAAATACCAGGAGACCAGGAGAAATGTACCACCTTTTTAAGTCTTCACTCCATTGATTCTTGAATTTGAATTTCACTTCAGCTATAGATTGGATCAACCTCTACTGTATGGTGAGGAGTGATTGGTTTGTGAAAGTAAAAAACAGAAAAGCAGAAGTGGACATGCAGTTAAAAATAAAAACAATGCAGAGACACCACTAAGAGAATTTTGTATTGGTACCAGTTCACATTGTCTTGTATTCATCAGCTAAATGTATACAGCACATGATGAAACCAGTTTCTATAGATAGTTATCAAAAGTGTTATGTGTAATCAAGATTTTATTGAAAACATAATACATTATTTTTCTAAATAATGTCATTATTGCCTTGTTAACTGGTATTTTCACAATAGAAGTCTTCCCTTTCTCCCTCTCTGTGTTATTCTAAGAGGAGATATAAAAAATGTGTAGCAAGGCTAATCACAATACTTTTTGTCTTGAGAGCCTGGATAAACATCAGTGCTTAGAAACTCCCACCCACTTGAATACAAGGAACCCAGGAGGATGGAGCAATACTAGCAGAGCTGGGGGTGTGGCTGGGTGTCCATCTGAGACAAAGCTTTGGTGCTAAACCTTGAGCTGTGAGTGGAGTCGATTCCACCCAAGGGATAAATATAGTATTCCACCAGCAGCCATTAGAATTACCATGCATAAAGAGCAGGGCCAACACAGTGTAACCACAACTACTAACGAGGCCTGCATTACTGTTTTGTTGATGCAATCAGGATACAATAAATGGCTCCATTTTCAACCCTCTAAATCTCATGCCACACCAGCACTCATACAGTAGAATTGTGTTACCTTTGAGAGCCACCCCAGCGTTTGCACAATTTAATGAGAAAACAAGTGGCTTTTGGTTTCTGGGAAAACAGCAACAACATGACCCCACTCTTTTCAGCTTTTTATAGACCACCTTTTTATGGTGAAAAATTAACCAAATATTGGCTGTAATATACAGTATAATGTATTTCAATTTGCAGGAACATTTTCCGAAGAAGTCTTAGCAAATATTTTTCATTTCCTGTCCAGAACATGGTGTAGTGTGGAGTGGAGCCTGTATGATCTTTTTAAGAAAATTTGCAAGGCCTGAATTTTTTAAAAATAAAAAACGTTTTATTGTGTTTTATTTCACAACATTGGTTGTTACTGCATTGAGACAGAATCTAAGGTTTATAGTCTTTAAAGGTTCAGTAACCAAGGCTGCTTCTGACATATCTGCTCTCTGATTGACAGGGGACTTTTATTTCCAGAGTTACCCATCCCCCAGATTTCACAACAACTCAGAAACTTACAGAACTCCAAAGACTAAACAGTAGAGAGAAAGGGGAGGGGTGGAGTATTGATATAAAATACAAAATAAAGCACACTTTTGCTACATGTGTAGCCAATCAGATTAAGTATCAAATGCAAAGAAAATTCCAATAAGAATTCAGTCAAATGCTATACCACTGAAGAAATATCATAAACAATAAAAAATATTTTTTAAAAGTCTAAGAGTAGATCATTAGGAAAGAAGTTTGACAAAATGTTAAAAACTAAATTTGAATTCAAAAGGTTAATAAAGAAAATAGACATTTTATTAGAGTCATACAGTATAAATTAATGTTTTAAAGGACTTAAATATTAAATACAACAGTCACATATGACATGTAGTAGAATATAAAATATCATATTTCACAGTCTTTCTTATTACTCTATAAATAAAAACTTTAATAAAACAAATAGCTCAGGAATAATAATTATGATTTGACTACAGAAAAATCTTGATTAAATAGTAAATTAAAATACCTTATTTAAATTAACCTTAGGCTATCACCACTTGGACATACATCTGTTGTACATCTGATGTATCACACACTTACTGTGCAAATAAAATGTCTTAAAACTATAATTTTGCAATTCAGTTGTAGACAGTCAAATTAATTGTTTGGGCTACTTTACCTTTAATCGGGAATCCTTTTTCTGGAAACCACAAGCGAACTATTAAAGATGAGTAATCAATATTTGTACAGCATTTCTTGTTACAGTTATGTGTACGTAGAAGTCACTTTCACAGTGTTATCTTTAACAACATGGCTAGAGAGCTTGTTCCAGACTTTCACAACTCTTTCAGTAAATGAGTGTCTCCTGTTTTCCTCTTTGGAATTTAATTTTGACTTGCATCATTCATTATATTTTAGATTTATGAAGAATATCTGTGGATTGACTAAATTGATATATTTCATGATTTTGGATACCTGAATCAACTTCTGTTCCATTTGTATTACTGTATTCCGCTTTGACTAGTTGATAGAGAAGAGTAAGCATAAGCTCTTAGATCTTACTGAAATGTCACCTCTTCTAGTGCAAAACCACCTGTTTGAAACTAAAAATGAACATTCTAGCTGCCTCCATGACATGTCTTGTACTTGCATGTCATAATTTAAGTCACCTGATGTCGGTCAAAATAAAGATATCTCATTCCTTCTCCCTAAAGTGCTTTAGAGTGCACCATTTCAATTTAAAAGTGCATTCTTTTGTTCAGTCAAATTCTAATAATGATCAAATAAGTTCACAGAGAACTGTATGCTTTGTATTTTTTATGCTTTTGTATGCTTTAGTAGTCTGAATGAGGAAAAAACAGCTGCCAAAGACCAGTGCTGGCACAACCCCTCTTGCTTATGAGGAGTACGCCAGTGAGGTGCTGCAACAGTGAAGCTGGGGTGCAAAAAGGAGAACCAGAAAAGGTATACAGAGCTGTGAGGTAGGTAGGTGCCTTTTCATGCCATAAAGCCCCATGGGGAATGGGGGGGGGGCAAGGGCCACCATTTTTCTTGACCATCTGACACTGGAGGTGATGTGGTCAGTATCACACTCCAGCCAGCCTATTACCCCAAGAAGGATTAACCACCAGCACTCATTTGGAAAGCAGGCTGAGTGAATCTGGGACCCATCTGGAAGGAAGTAGAGCAAATTACATCACTTGCCCCTACCTGGGATTGAACCCAGGGCCTTCCAGGGAGGAGCTAGACACTCTCACCATCTGAGCTACCACAGCTGTGGAGTTGTGGAGAGACAGGACGTTTTTTTATACCACAGCAATATTAGAATTTGACTTCCTTTTGAAGTTCTGATAACCAAGAA